AAACCTGTCCAAAGCATAAACACTTTCCAGAAGTCTGAGAGCCCCAGGTATCAGTGTGGGAGCGGAAACTTCTGCTTCAACCACACTACCTTTGACTTTTCTTCGTTTCCCGATGCATTCTTTTAGGGTACAATTATTTCCTGAGCCAGCAGGTGGCTCAGTCACACACTCTACATTTTTCCTACGTAGTTCTCGCTACACACACTGAAATTTAAATAACACGAGCATTTGCTTTCTGTATGAACACACCACTCTGTTCAAGCCGGAATGCTATTTTTTAATATCGCATCTTATAAACCTCTTAATACTACAATTTGGAGGGAAAAGCTGTGCAGATGCTGTAAGTCTCAGTGTGTCTCGGTATCAAGGTCTTCTGATTTTATGCTAACCTGACCAGCATGCATTCTTTTTAGGGTACAATTATTTCCTGGGTACAATTATTTCCTTTTAGGGTACAATTATTTTACACATGCTGGTCCAGTCTCCCCTACCAAGTCTCTCTCACACCATAAATTAAAACAAGGATCATATACCTATACATTTAATTATAAATCAATTACTAGAGGCCACACTATTTGTCTACTGTTTTAGCAACTACTGTTTACACTCACAGACACACACACACAGAGCTATACTTGACCATGAAAAAGATGAACAAATCTTGTCACTCCTGACTGTGGTTGAACTGGAGAATAATGCAAAGCAAAGTCAGTCTGGAGGAGAAAGACAAATAAATACAGGCCGGTGCCACGGACGTGTGCAAAACAGAGAAACACAACAAAGGATCAGATGAAGCTGATCAATACTAATCCCTAGGCATCTGGCTGGAAACAAGTGCCCAGAAAGCAGGTGGGGACAAGGGCACCGGGAGGAAGTGCCCACTGGTGGTGGGTGTGCTGGGAAACCGACACTGGCAGGGGTTTGAACCCATCACCCTCAGAGCCTACGAAGCAGTGTAAACCCACTTTACCTCAGTAAATGTTACTGGGGTGGAAGAGAAGCAAATCTGTGTTCAATTTATTTTTAAAAAGAACACGAAAAAGATGTGCGACACATCTGTGAATTGCACACTCACATGGGCGGTTCAACTGCATCTCTACAACAGAAAAACAGGCTAATCGCCTTTTGGGACGCTTAGTGATACTTCTGCTGAGTATCAAGAAATGTAAGAGCAAAGTTTCAGACTGAGCCATGAAGGGCGAGCCACTGAATCTTCAGTTGTTTCGATGCAGGACCCTAAGAGTAGGTGCAT